TTTAATCTAACTGAAAAGTACTGAATGAACATAATTGTATCTCTATGATGTAGGAGATGAACAAATTGAAGTTAATTCAGATTCAGTGAGAACAAAAGCATGTGAAGTGGATGAAGATGGTGACTTGATTCTGCCCAGGAAGCGTAGTAAGTTCATACCCCTTTACAGTTAATTAGGTCAATCTTAGTTACTCGATCTTCTTCAATTAGTGAAGATAATTTTGTGCTTGATTATTATTTCTTGAATAAGATTTTGTAGTTTTGCTTTTTCTTAGTTGTTTTAAGCTTTAACCTGTCATTTAGATTTGCCCGATACTTTTTTCTTTGAAATGTATACCTGTTTGTATTTTCAGTACAAATCAGTGGAACGAAGGCTGCTCATTCGGTTAAAACCGAACCGATATCGGTTTGTCCATTATCATAACCGAACTTTGTGCGCCCCTAAGTGGAACTCTGTTGAAAAAGTTGGGATCTTTGATAGTCGGTGAACTTTTGTTGTGTTGGCCTGTGAGAATTATTAATCAAATTGCTGGTCTATATATCTTTCGATTTGGGATCTTCTCCATTTAATCATGAATAGGCCTATTCTGGTTTATTGTCGTAAGGTTTTAAAACGGTTGCCGTGTTGAATTTATCGTCTTCGTGTCAGAAACCTTTATCACTCATAATCAAATAGAAATAAAAATAAAAAATAAATTATATGTATTAGAGGGAAATGCTACAGTATCGTTACGGAACTATTCTGTCGGGATTTGTTAACCGTTAAATCATCATGTAACCGTCGTGCATAGTTGATCTAACGGTTACAAATCCCGACGGAATGGTTCCGTAACGGGACTGTAGAATCTCCCTGTATTAGAATGAGGAAACTGGACATCATATAAAAGACTGAGAATCTGATAGAATCCATATGGCTGCAGATCCTCCAAAAGATTCTTTTGTTATCAGCATCCAACATAATATCACCTCATCCATTCCCAGAGTTGGTCTCCAGGTAATAAGGCTGCACATAATCGAAGCATTTGTAGATTTATGTTATTGGTTTGTTTTTCTTTTATCCTTCCATTGAGAAAGCTAGTTAAATCTTTTCATTTATGTTCTATATCCTTATTTTATTTAACACACCGAGTTTATCATTGTTTTTACATGTTTCACATTTATATGACACATTCTATATTACCGAGCTATTTTATAGTTTATACACTGTTTGCTGTTCTAATTCAGGTTTGGAGAGCAGAACTAGTCCTAGGCTCCTAGCTGATTTTGTGCTTCATGTGATGAGTAAATCAACAAATTTTGATGGGATTGTTGCTACAGAACTCGGCGCAGGTACTGGTAAGCTGACTTTTACTCTCAGATTGAGTCATAAGTTTCCAAAGTCAGTCTCATAGAGTTTAGAGTTTTATAATATTAGAGGTAAAAATCTTTTAAAGATGACGCTGCTGCTTGTATGACAGGAATATATCTATCTTTCTTCTTCCAGGGTTGGTTGGCATGTTACTTGCACGTGCTGCTAATACTGTATTCGTAACTGGTAAAGCATAACTCGGATCCTTTAATTCGGTTTTACTCAACTGCTATTTCATGGTATTTGTTATCTTTTTCGACACTTCCATATAACTTCTATGCGAAACAATTTAGTTTCTCCTTGTTGGTCTACATGTTTGTGACCAGTGATTGATGAATTATTACTTTTTTTGTTCATTTAGTTAAATACCGTTGAAATTTCAATATATCACAGACCATGGTGATGAAATACTCGAAAACTGTGCCAAGAATTGCAATCTCAATGCTGGGATTTTCCACAAAAAGGCTTCTATATATATACGTGAACTTGATTGGACGAGTCCATGGCCACCCGAGATAGTTGCGAATTCTCCATCTCAGCAAAAGTAATAAAGCAGTTGTACTATTTATTTGATCTCTCCAGTCTCCACTATTCATTTACTTATTTTGAAATTCTAAATATATTGATAAATTTTTTAGTCTCTTTCTAATTGTACAGATATGGTTGGAGCATGGCAGAGGTTGAAGAGCTCCAGAGAGCTACTGTTCTCCTTGCTGCTGATGTCATATACTGTGACGAATTAACCGATGCATTCTTCAGCTTATTAGAAGCAGTTATGTCTAGTGGTGTCGAGAAGGCAAGTTTCAACTATTTTGGGAGTATGTATATAGGTTATGTTTTGTAAAACTAGCTGATAGCTGATAAGTGAATTTCGAACTTATAGCTTATGACTTATACCTCAAAAGCTAGCTTATATGAGATAAGTGTTTGTTAAAATTAGCTGATAAGATAGCTCAAATTAAAATTTTAACGAGTTTGTTTGAAAAGTTACCAAACTATGAAATAAGCTCGAACTTTTTTAAAAAAGCTCGTCCTACAAAATGAAGTTTATTTGAATACAGGAATCTTATAAGCTAATTTATTTGGTTTATTAAACATAGCCATAATAACCGAATACGATTCAATGGTGTGTATCTTTATTTGACATAAAATATGAAATTTTATGTTCATGATAATTTGATGTGTGTATGGCAATTTTGTCTTAGGTTCTATACGCAGCTTTAGAAAAGCGGTACAACTTCACCATTGATGACCTTGATGTTGTAGCCAATGGTTATTCACACTTCCGAAGTTATCTTAGAACCGAGGAAGGTGAGCATTACTATCGTGTCTTAATCGGCATGAAAAGATGATATGATATTCACATTATGTTTCTATTGTGCAGATGAGAACGGCTTTGAAACTGAAAATTCACCGAGCTTTTTGGGTAAGCTCATGAATCTTGACGAGATACCTCAGTACGTGAGGGAGTATAACCGAGGTGAGGATGTTGAGTTATGGCAAATCAGATATGCGAAGCCGAAATGCTAAAACCGGGTAAAGTTTGTTTTAAGAACTATAGACTATAGTGCAGGAATTATAGTGCAAGAATGAGGAAATCTTTTCAAATTGACTAAGTCCAGTATTTATAGACTTTGAAAATGGTGATGAAGGGACACTATGATTTGAATTTTGAAACGCCCACGGGATACGTAGCGTTTCATATACGCCTTAAATGCCGCTGAACCCGTTAAATCGCGACATGTTGCTTATGCAGTTATTGTCAGTCCAGCGCAATTAAAAGGATGCGCCTTTCTATGAAACGACGCCTGTAAGGCCGTTCGTCTCATTGTCGGGCAAAAAGTCAGCCTCGGTAAATATGTCCTAGACCAGCGCTACCATATCGACCGAACCTGGGGGCCTCTGTATGGGGCATAGACCGAATGGGCAGAATTACAACTAAATAAATAATCTAATCGGTTTCATACCAGCGAAGATGCAAAGAACGACTGAAAACGGACCAAATGTGATGCTCGAACGAACGAACGAACCATAGGTGGAGTGTTCGATTGGCGCTAATCATTGCAGGAAATTGTCCGTACGATACGAATTAAATGCTGAGAGATTCGTGATCGTCCATCGAAGGGTGTTTAACAAGCAGATACACGTGTCACAGTCCAGTTTAATATCTTATATTGAGATTAGAGGTGACCAACTGCCGGGCCGCGACCCGACCCAGCCAGGTCAATGGGTCTCAATATTATGGCAACCTATGGACCGGTCCATAGAACCGGCCCGGAACCGCCGGTTCACCGGCCCGACGGGTCTCGGACGGTTCCGGGCCGGTGCGGCCCTTAAAAAACCAAAAAAGAAAAAAGCAATGCGACCCGCGACCCGGCAGGTCAAAAACTAGAAGTATATGAACCGGGACCGAACCACAACCCTACGGGTCCGATTCAAGGAATCGGCCCTTAGGAGGATGGTTCGGGGCCGGGACCGGTTCACGGGCCGGTTCGGCCTGTGGACACGTCTAATTGAGATTAGATTGTGTAGTAAGTCATTAAATGTGGTGTGACTAAATATCTTAGGAATATCTAAGAAAAGAAAATAGAAAATAAAAATCTCAAAGAGGGTTGTAACAATATCTCATATTTCCTATTAAAGGAGGAAGAAACAACATTAAATGCAATGAGAATATTCTTCTCTCGTTAATGATTATAATAAGTCACGAATAGATGAGCCATTCGGCCAGTATTCTATACATTTCTATTCGTGCAGACCAAACCGAGTGCGCATTTTAGTTTGCAGTTCGAACAACATTGTTGACAATTTCATACATCAACAATATTCAACTTTAACCCAACTCAACCATCATTAATGGTATTCATATAATTAAATAACACAAATCAATCATTCTTACAGATCACAACTTTAATTTACTATCGATCCGTTCACATAATTTTAAATACCTATCATAGCCAATCATTTATCTCTTACTTGTATCACATCAATTTAATCATTTTATTTTAAATCCTATCTTAAAATCCCACCACAATTAATTATATTATAATTTTTTAAAATTAACGTTAGTTAACCAAAAAAACTCATTTTAAACGGAATAATAACGAACAAGCGTGCCCTTAAAAGTTGTGCACGGAGATCAAAAGATTCTTGGCTAAGTCTTCCCATTGACTTTTTGGATCAAATTCTACCTATCTATAATATGAGTATATGACAATCAGGCCCTAAAACTTGTCAACATGCCATTCTTACGTATTGCCACCATGTTTGCACATTACTTTTTACTAATTTCTATAAACCATCTTTATATTTGGATCACATTAGTAGAGTAAATATGGAAAACAAAAGAGAGAGAGAGAGAGAGAGAGAGAGAGAGAGAGAGAGAAAGAGAGAAAGAGAGGGAGAGAGAGAGATAAGGGTTCACATCACCTATTCATTTTGTTTCCACACACACTAAAAAAACTATAGTTAAGACATTATCTTCAAGAATTCATGGATGATCAAGAACCATGGCACAATTCCACCCATGCTATCAATGGCTGCTGGCCAAGAAGCCACTCGGTTCGAAAATACGATCGTTTAGCGTCGTACGGCAACATGGCGGGCGTAAGAAGGGCGAATAAAGTTTCCATGTGGACTCAAATGTGGAGGGAGATGAAGAGAGGAAGTAAGAAGAGAATGTTCCGTTGTTCGAACTCGACGAGTTTGAGTTACGATGAACATTCTTACTCGCAGAACTTCGACCCGGGCTCCGTGTGTGCTGACCCGGATGATCTTTCCCGTTCG